CCCATTTATTCCCCGCCTCCTATGTCCCAGCTGATTGGCTGATCTTCTTTTGTTGCCCTGCAGAGGAGAACAGAGCTGGAAAGTAGGTTGGTGGGGTGGGGAGGGAATGGGGACTTTGCAGGATCCTTCCCCTGCCATGCCCACCAAGCCACACCGTGCCCAACAAGACACGCCCACAGAACCGGTAGTAAAAAAAAAATTTGAATCCCACCACTGATTTGGTGGGTTTGTCGATGGAACAAAGCAGGTTTCTTTTCTTTTTCTTTTTTCCTTAGGAATGTGAGTTTGTGAAGACACGGTGCAGATCAATATTCATTACACCACCAGATCAATCTCGGGCCGTAGGGAATCTTCATGGGGTTCATTGGACTAAATCGCTTGTTTTACTAAGAGGGCACCAAGGCTGGTTCTGTGCGGCAGGAAGAATGAGAGCTGCAGCTCAACGAGGCCAGAAAACATTCTGCTCCTTCATGGCTATTGATTTATTTGCAGAATAAAGAAAATATTAGCGGGGTGGAAAGATTCCAAGGAGGTAGAGATCTGAAGAGCAAAAAAGAAAAGAAAAAGAAAGCGTGTCAGTTTTGAAACGTGGAATGGGAAGGGAAAGACGTGACCTAAATAGTAGGTTTGCAATTAACCCCCCCAAAAAATAAAATGCATTGTTCGTCAGTTTCGGTGTTTGAGCAAGAAAAGGATAGCAGTATGTTTCGATATCTCAGGGGCTCCCCCAAAGAAGAGGGAGTCAAGCTATTCTCCAATGCACCTGAAGGCAGGACAAGACGCAACGGATGGAAACTAATCAAGGAGAGAAGCAACTTAGAACTAAGGAGGAATTTCCCTGACAGTTAGAACAATTAATCAGTGGAACAATTTGCCTCTGGAATCGACAGCACCCAGAACCTAGATTAAGTCTAAGATTAATATCAGACAAACAATCAAGTAGACAATAAACCAATCAAGGAACTGCCAAAAAAGCCAACAGTATCAACCCAGCCAAAGAACTTCTAAGACTACTCGAGGGCAAGCCACTAGAATAGAAACCGAGAGCAAACCCCATTCCCTGTTTGCATTGATGATATTCCCTAGTTGGGTCATAAAATGTCTGCAAGAAAACCACCAAGCTCAGAGAGCACCAAGAACCCCAGGCCACCTCCTCCCACTCCTCCTCCCTGCAAACCCTCCTCCCTTCTAGCACTGATGATGTTACCTAGTTTAATACTGAAATGTCTGCAAGAAAGCAAGCAAGTTCAGAGAGCACCAAGGACCCCTTATTTCAACCCTGAGCTACAAATATTCTCTTTATTTTTACCATTCTCACCTTCAGATCCCCCCACTGGAGGCCAGTGCTGACAGTTGGTTCCTTCCTTCCTTCCTTCCTTCCTTCCTTCCTTCCTTCCTTCCTTC